AACATTATGAGAAGACGAAGTCTGATGGACATTGTTGGAGCAGGCACTACAATAGATGACAAACTCCTGGTCACACAATATGTAGCGCTTTTTCACAGCATGACGCCTGTTCCGCCGGCTGACAGAACGATGAGAGACCAGGCCTGAATCTGGAGAAAGGATAATTTGACCCCCGTCACCCGTTGACAGTTCCGCCGGTCAAGCTAAATAAGCAAGAGAACGGTTGTCCTTGCCCGGCAGCGTCGTCGACTTTCCTTTGTTATTCTAAGCTGCCCCTTCGTCAAGCGGTGACGCCTCTTGTCGTCCTGTCTCGACGGGGCTTGTGTGTGTTGTGCGCGCCAGTCCGAGATCCTTCCGCTCCGATGGTTCCGTTGATTGCCGTCGTGCGGCGCCCTCGGCGTCACGTCAGGGAGACGTTACCCGTCATGCCAGTGTGTGTCGTGATGATGCGACTGCCGTGCGAACGCTTTTTCTTGTACTTGCCTCGAGGTCAAAGAAAGTAAACGCATACATTTCACTTTGTTGATGACATTGTCGGATTTCTGCATTTGTTTAATATTGCTGAATAATATCATCAGGCTTGATTGGTACACAGATGGAAACATTGAGCACACCTTCAGCTTGTAGCAGAAGCATCTCAGGATCACTTAACACTTTCGTGACCGCGAGAAAGTTGGCCGTTCTTGGGTAGTCCACAAAACCTTATTTATTCATGCCTCCCAAAGTTACTGATGTTAATGTTTATGGCGTCAAATTGTGCAGCTGGAAGTTATCTTTCATACACGGTCAGTTTAAAACCATTATTTTATTAATAATAGAACTAAAAACTCATCAAACGAAAAACATTGTAAACATGAAAAAAAAAGAAATTCTATAGAACCTTCAGCACTTCTTTGAACAAGCTAAGCATAAAAAGAAATCGAAATACACATTTTAAGTGCAAGGAGCACATATAATTATCCTGTAAATATAAGCCCTGTAAATACAAAAGATTTTGTGTACATAAAATAACATTACACGTAGTGTCTTTCATGCCACCGTGCGAAGCAGTTTCGCGATGCGGTAAAACACAAGTTTGCTACGCATGTTTCACAGAAAACACTTGCTTTCTGTTCAATTTTTTTTTTGTTCATATCATTAGCTCTGAGCGGCGTTTCGTGTAGGATCATCAAGATGGACTGTTGGACCTTCAAGAACCGCATCTTTCGCAGTACATCGGCAAAATATGCGCCAAAGCATAATAGTTTTTTTGCTTTTGCTTAGCTTTTTATTAACTTGAACAGTAAAAAAACAAAAAGTCGACTGCGCTCACGAAGCGCCGCGCGTCACTGTGTAACGCGCTGTGTAACGCGGTTCCGAGGTTCACCTCTCATAATCAAATGGTGGTTTTGGGACGTTAAACCCCACAGATCATCATCATCATCCGAGGTTCACTCCTGGCTGCCTCCGCGCACGAAACTGCACTCCCTGCGCTGCCGCTGGCAAGTGGTCCCGCCCGAAGGAAGCGGACGTCCTGCAGATAAGGGCCCCAACCTTTAGAAGACATCGGCTCAGCTTACACCGATGCGCGCCGGCAAAAAACGCGGCACAAAGCTAAACTCACCGGTGGACGCCCACCGATGTTCCAGAGTGGTTTGACGAACTCTCGTCGTCCGTGCTGAAGTGAAAAGTGTCAATGTCGTTTTCCGAGCCTGTGCTGTTATCGTCATGTGAATAATCCAGCCAAGATGCACGAGAACCCTCTGAAATTCCCCGCTTTCCTGAAGCGGTTGATTTGATTGATATGTGGGGTTTAACGTCCCAAAACCACCATTTGATTATGAGAGACGCCGTAGTGGAGGGCTCCGGAAATTTAGACCCCCTGGGGTTCTTTAACGTGCACCCAAATCTGAGCACACGGGCCTACAACATTTCCGCCTCCATCGGAAATGCAGCCGCCACAGCCGAGATTCGAACCCGCGACCTGCGGGTCAGCAGTTCGTGAAGCGGTCTCACGCGGCGTCGACGCCACGATTGAAACTATGCACGCTCACTCGCACGCAAGGGAAGGCGCTTTAAAATCACCGCACAGTGAAAAAAAAGAACTACAAAAGCGAAACTTATAAAATACTTTTCCTTTACACGTTACATAGCGTAAGGAGTCCAAAAGCGTTCGAAACAGGGCAAATATTTAAGTTGTAAACATAAAAAACATACTATCAATGGGGATAGGCCCGGTCACGAAAGTATTAAATACCTTTATTCATTGTTTTTTTTAAGCGAAAGTCTTAGATGAATCATGAAACGCGAAAACCTGCCGTCTGCGTGTACACAAGTCACGCAAGAAATCATCACGTGATTGCGTCATCGCATGACGACATCAGACCACCAAATGTCGCCAAAACTTGTGATGTCATCATGTTGTCACTGTGACATCATCACTCCCTTGGTCAAGCGTGAGCTGATCAGGAGTCTGTGTAAAAACTGGATGAGGCCCAAAAAGCTTTCGGAGGGGGGCAGAGGTGGATCCATACATCGACTAAGAATTAAAAAAAAACTACACCATCTCCGCTAAAGAGAACTATGCGTGGATGCGAAGCAGCGGGGAGACGGTTCCCTTGAATGGGAGACTATGTACACTATTTTAAACCTTGAGCGGGTGCTAACACTGACAATGGTGGCGGTGTTGATGCTGGTGCCCATCGCGTCGTTGCACATGAAAGAATGAGGGGCGCGCTCTGTCATTTTATACAGCGGAACTACCGTGGCACCCCTAGAGGAAGTATGCAGCTGTCGCACCACGTGTCGTGCGCGCTGCTCCGTAGAGTAGAGGAATCCTAAGGGAGAGGGAGGGGAGCGTAAGAGAGAAAAGGTGGGGAAGGGGACGCGCATGCGCTGTGAGGGTGTGGCCGCCACGGGAAGAAGTGAGGGACGGGCACAGCCCCCGCCACAGTCTGCTTCGCATCTAAGAGTTTTTGCCTTCAAGTCGTCCCACGTAAATGAACAAGGCACCCTGTCAGATTATTTTTTATTTCATTGCCCCAATCAGATATGTATATTATGATAGGTCAGGTAATCGAGCCGGAATAACAAGGAGGGTAACAAGGAAAGTCTGAGAAAACCCATGTAACAAAGAATGTCGATTGAAACAGTGTAGGGACTCACCATATCGCCCACGAACGTCATGTATATGAGAAGTGTAGGCAGCTGGGTTCCTCTCCCGGCACTTTACTCTGTACACGCTGCGCCATCTAGCACGGCCTCCGCTACATCCTAGCGAAGAACCGTAGTTTCCCAGATCACCCGATATCACGGCGTGCAGCCAAACGATCCAGGAGAGCAAAGCAAAACGTAGGTGAAAACAGTCCTAGAAGCGCTAAGTGGCGATTTCACAGGCCACTGTGGATCTGGTGGGAATACAAACGAGATAATGTGTAAACGCGCAGCGTCAAAAAAAAAAAAAGTCATGCGGAAGTTTTTTTTAGTTGTCATTTCAGCAATCGTGTTAAAGCATATAGTTAAAGCACAACTTTGCAATATTATGCTACAGTGGTAATGGGCAGTACAAAAAATTGCAAATCGAGTTTAAATGCGAAAAGGACGCAAGTACATGAATTAAAAGCTGCTAAAAGGTATCTTGGCGCTCGGAATTCAGGTCAAGGGCGTCTTTGCGGACCTCTCCCTCGTACTCCTCTCCTTCGAACGTGGGCAATGTTGATTGATTGATTGATTGATTGATTGATTGATCGATCGATTGATTGATTGATTGATTGATTGATTGATTGACTGATTCATTGATTGATATGTCGGGTTTAACGTCCTAAAACCACCATATGAGTATGAGAGACGCCGTAGTGGAGGGCTCCGGAAATGTAGACCACCTGGGGTTCTTTGACATGTACCCAAATCTGAGCACACGTGCTTACAATATTTCCGTCTCCATCGGAAATGCAGCCGCCGCAGCCGGGATTCGATCCCGTGACCTGCGGGTCAGGAGCCGAGTACCTTAGCAACTAGACCACCGCGGCGGGGCAACGTGGGCGGTGTGTATATAAGCGTGAAGGTGAACAACTAAAGCACATCCACATGCATTCACGCAAGAACACTCGCCAACAAGCTACAAAAAAGAAAACAATGCACCTGCATCTTTCACGGGTGCAAAGTGTGCTTTAGTTGTTGTTTATTTCCTCTAAGCATTGTACATACCCGACGGAGGGGATTGTTTGAGTGCTTTTGCTCGTTCTTGTGTCGTAATTCCCCTCCCCTTAGTGCAGGGTAGTAAACCGAATGCTACAATTCTTGTTGACCTTCCTGCCTATCTCTCAAATTATTCTCTCTTTCTTTCTTGTGCCCATAGTAAGAATGAAAAAGTGTGCTCTCGTACCCACAGCTATTATCTTCTTAAGCCTAACTCAGCATTAAAAAAAAACAAACTATGGGAATAATCGTGTGCAAAATAGCGCAACTACATGAGCATAACCTTTCAGCTAAAAAAAAACCCCCACTTATAGGTAAAGACAATTACGTTGTTGAAGTATTGCATCGACCCATCGTTGGTGACAGAAATTCGTAGATTTGGCAGTTTGACGACGTTTAGAAGAAGAAAAACAATGCATAAAAAGCAAAAAAAAAGGAAAAAAGGAGGTATTTCACGGCTGGCTATATATTTTGTAAGAGTCGACAAAGTCGACCGCCCTTTTCAGCACGCACTGTTCAGATGAGTCTGAAAAACTTGCCGGCCGGCACCAATCATCGTCACCTATTTCTGGCTGAATGCAATCATTGCGGGCTAAATTGACAGCCCACTTAGCGGACTACGAACTGCCACCTCTGGTTGGCTAGTCAGCGACGGTAACGGGCGGTAAGGGGCTAAAAAATACAGTGAGTAAAAAGCTGTACGGTACACACAGCTTACTTCGCGCTCGTACTGCTCAAGTTAGATTAGTATGCGGTGTTGTATAGCGCGCTGCAGCATCGGCCGCGTATACGCTGAGGCATGCCCCGTGGTTTGTGCGCGCCAGGAAGAGCCCTATCTGATGTACAAGAAGCCCGAGCCTGGCCAGGTGCTGACGGGCAACGACGTGTTCGAGGGATACTGCAAGGACCTGGCCGACCTCATCGCCGACAACCTCAAGTTCAACTACACGCTCAAGCTGGTCAACGACTCGAAGTACGGTGGTCAAGACGCCAATTCGCAGGCCGGATGGAACGGGATGGTCGGCGAGCTCATTCGCCAGGTGAGTTCAATACTTTCGAGACGGCACTTACGCTAAACCTTATGTGACCGTTGAAAGTGGTCCGATTGGTACACGACAGCTTTTTACTTGATGAAGTAGGCTTGTCAAGTTTCAAGTTTGTAGGCACAGCAGCTCGGAAACTAGTTGGTAAAACACTGACGCGATGTATAAGTATGCGGAATAGTCTAAAACACTAAAACAAGAGTCTCAAACACACAGCCCATGGTCTACATGCGGCCAGCGGGCCTATCGCTAGCAGCCCGTTTTGGCCCAGCAGTGAATCGACAGGCTGCTTTTGGTTCATTGCCCGGTCCAGAATTAGATGCATGCAACTGTTCTCCTAGCATTATCGCCAGGTTCGAAATCACCTACTTCTGCGTACAACTGTTCTTCTATAGCAGCATCGCCAAGTTGGAAATTACCTACTTCTGCTTACAACTGTTCTATAGCAGCATCGCCAGGTTCGAAATCACCTACTTCTGCGTACAACTGTTCTTCTATAGCAGCATAGTCAAGTTCGAAATTACCTACTTCTGCGTACAACTGTTCTTCTATAGCACCATCGCCTGGTTCGAAATTACCTATATACTTCTGCGTGCAACTGTTCTTCTATAGCAGCATCGCCTGGTTCGAAATTACCTATGTACTTCTGCGTGCAACTGTTCTTCTATAGCAGCATCGCCAGGTTCGAAATCACCTACTTCTGCGTACAACTGTTCTTCTATAGCAGCATCGCCAAGTTCGAAATTACCTACTTCTGCTTACAACTGTTCTTCTATAGCAGCATCGCCAGGTTCGATATCACCTACTTCTGCGTACAACTGTTCTTCTATAGCAGCATAGCCAAGTTCGAAATTACCTACTTCTGCGTACAACTGTTCTTCTATAGCAGCATCGCCTGGTTCGAAATTACCTATATACTTCTGCGTGCAACTGTTCTTCTATAGAAGCATCGCCAGGTTCTAAATCACCTACTTCTGCGTACAACTGTTCTTCTATAGCAGCATCGCCTGGTTCGAAATTACGTATATACTTCTGCGTACAACTGTTCTTCTATAGCAGCATCGGCAGGTTCGAAATCACCTACTTCTGCGTACTACTGTTCTTCTATAGCAGCATCGCCTGGTTCGAAATTACCTATATACTTCTGCGTGCAACTGTTCTTCTATAGCAGCATCGGCAGGTTCGAAATCACCTACTTCTGCGTACAACTGTTCTTCTATAGCAGCATCGCCTGGTTCGAAATTACCTATATACTTCTGCGTGCAACTGTTCTTCTATAGCAGCATCGCCAGGTTCGAAATCACCAATTTCTGCGTACAACTGTTCTTTTATAGCAGCATCGCCAAGTTCGAAATTACCTACTTCTAACAACTGTTCTTCTATAGCAGCATCGCCAGGTTCGAAATCACCTACTTCTGCGTACAACTGTTCTTCTATAGCAGCATCGCCTGGTTCGAAATTACCTACTTCTGCGTACAACTGTTCTTCTATAGCAGCATCGGCAGGTTCGAAATCACCTACTTCTGCGTACAACTGTTCTTCTATAGCAGCATCACCTGGTTCGAAATTACCTATGTAATTCTGCGTGCAACTGTTCTTCTATAGCAGCATCGCCAGGTTCGAAATCACCTACTTCTGCGTACAACTGTTCTATAGCAGCATCGCCAAGTTCGAAATTACCTACTTCTAACAACTGTTCTTCTATAGCAGCATCGCCAGGTTCGAAATCACCTACTTCTGCGTACAACTGTTCTTCTATAGCAGCATCGCCTGGTTCGAAATTACCTACTTCTGCGTACAACTGTTCTTCTATAGCAGCATCGCCAGGTTCGAAATTACCTATATACTTCTACGTGCAACTGTTCTCTTAACAGTACGTGCACTTCAGGATAAACATGTTCAATCGGCCATGAGGATAACCTCCGCACTAGTACAGTGACTGTGGGTATTTCTCATCTCCTCGCCGCTAAGCATTGCAAGGCGTCAAGTCAACGTGTTTAGAACTTTAGCCGTTACATTTTCCGCCATACCAAATAAAGCTCTATGGCTCTTCTAAACGGCATTCGCATTATTTTCTCACCTATTGCGATTGATAACGCTTCATTTATTTGTGTAAGCTTTACATATACCTGGCTGGCCTCAAGCATGTTTTTTATGAGGTATCCAAAGCGATCACCATGTTCTGAAACATAGCCATGAAAGAAAAACTTTCTTGGAATCGGCGTCTCCAGATTTCAGTCGTTCCTGAGATCAGTATTGATGTGTTTCTCGGAAATGAAGTCTAAACCCCTTCAGAAATCATTCTTGTATGAAATGTGGGAACGGCCGTCTTTCAAATGGCGGCGTTGGCTGGCTGACAACTCGTTCCAACCAACCCCCCTCCCCTTCCTTCCCACGCTCTCCAACATTATATATCGAAGCGCTCCGACATATGTAATCATAAGCAGCAGCAAAAGAATCAGCAGCGAACAGCTACGTATAGGTTCGCCTGGTGTCTTACGGGCTCGTAATGGGGCCCTTAGCTTATTCGCAAAAGGTAGAAATATGGCGGAGTGGGCATTTCCCAGTAGGACTTGCAGTAGGCATTCTATAAGTCTCAAACGGCCAGCGTTACGTGCACAGGCATTCGTTTCCTTAAGGCACGGTTGAGGCATTCACTTAAAACCGAAGCCAGGCTAGTCACTGAGAAGGCGACGCCCACAGGACCGATTACACTATAGTTATAGTTTTCTTCTCTTAAAAGCGAAGTTCAAGGTCCCTCCATGTTTTTATGTCGAATAATAGATTTCGCTACAATACGTTTTGCACTTTTTGTAAATGATTCATTTAGCCATCAATGCCTTTTTCGCCTATATGAAAGCTGAATCGTTCAAGCCGTGTAAAACGCAGATTATAGGGTTCTTTTCTAAGCGTAAATGACAATTTGGACCGTTCAGACTGCAATATTTGTTCTGCGCTACCACACAACTATGCGTGTCGCATAACGATGCAGCTACACGGCACGCGTGGCAACAAACGCGGGATCTTCCAAAACTTGCAGACAGCTTTGCAGGACCACCCACGCAATGCTCGCATACTTCTTTCAGCTCGTCGTCTTTCAGTCGTCTTTCGCAGATCGAGAACGGCGGTGCTCAGAAGGCTTTGTAGGATATTTTAGAAAGCGCTAGGCGCGACGTTAACGATGCAGGATATATGCGAAGCGTGCTTTCGCGGTGCCAAGAAAAAAAATTGACAAGTGAAATGCGAGACGGCAAAAGTAACTCCGGGGTGGTGCAGTTGAATCTGCATTCGGCTTTAAGAACGCTTTCAAAAGTTTGCTAGAGTTCCGTTCGCGAAATCCTCAAGAGGCGCCATGTTTTGAGTGCGAGTACAAAGCAACCAAGTGCCTCGCAAACTTCCCTTCTCTTTCTTCAATGGTGTCCTTGCGTGCTGGCGGATGAAGAATACCTCTCTGTTGGATCAGTAAAAACCACGACATGCTGCAAACGTAAAGGTTGAGCGATGAAATACTGAACAGTGGTTTAATGGAAGAAATTACAAAGGCGGGTTAAATGTACGCACACACAGATACAAACACACACACACCCACGCACATTCACACACAAACACGCGCGAAAGTGACTCACCCCTCGTGCTTTCGTCTTTTTTTTTTTGCTTTTTTTAAGAGAAGCATGGTTTAGCGAAAGTAGGCCAGTAGCTACGTATCTTATTCTTGGCGTTTCCCATAGGAATGCATCGGGATCTGCAGCAAATACGTTGAAAATATGTACTCATACGTAATGATTAATGACTCGAACGCACCACTTACAGAGTACTCCATTAATTCCCCGTGAGTGAGGGCTGCAGAAGACAGAGCCATCTTTTTCTTACCTGAAGAACCATCCCTCTGACACACAGTTTCGCCCTAAATGATTATATAAAAGGCTTTAGCCGACATATAGGTCCACCTCTGAAGGATTTCAACCTAACAAAAACGGCCCCTTTGAAGCTCCCATTATGAAACTGTATTTGCGAGTGGTCGCTTTCAGCACTATTACCTTGTGGCGGATCCCTCCATTTAAGCAGAGAGCCAACGCCTAATTCATATCTGAAGCTCATAAAATGTCATTTAATTTAGGTGAACTGAGGAAATGAGATAGTCCAATTTCTTTTTTTTGTGTGTGCAGAAATGAACGCGGAAGGCCTCAACTAAAAGGATGAAAAACGAAGTAATACCGTTCAGTTATTCCTAGTTAAAGGGCCTTTGTAGCACGTGGCAACTGCTGGAATTATGAGGAAATAAACATCTAGAGTACTCCAGCCTTAGGACGGGCGGGGCATGGCTAGTTCCCAACGGGCGATGCAACGAGAATTATTCAAAATTAGGTTATAGACTTTTTACGCGCAACTACGACGTGACTAAGAGGCACCCGGTAGTGAGTGGCTCCAGATTAGTTTTACCGCCTTGGGTTTTTTATCGTACGCCTAAATTGAAGAGCACGGACGTTTTCTCTTTTTCCCCCTTTGGTCCCCGTCAGAATGAAATTGCCGCAGCGGTCATCCTGGAACGCGCATCCTGAGTTCAGAAACGCACCAGCTTAGCCGCCAAGCTAGCACACCACGTCGCGATTTGATCAAGCGCGAACTCGCTTCTGGCAATTTTCTTATTAATTTAATGCAATGCATATTTCTTGAATTCGGCAGTAACATTTGCACATCTAATTTTACTCAATGTGCCTGGGGTATCTTGCTTCATAACCTTAGAGTGCCGAGTTTTTAAATGCAAAGCACTTTTGGCGTCTATCTATCTGTCTGTCTATCCCCTTACGTATGAGTGCTCTCGTGATCACCCCCTTGACTTGGCGTGAATCAAAATTAGTATGGGAAGGTAAGATATTTTGACAAATATGACGCGCTGGTCAAGACATTAATCATTTTGCTTACGTCGTCAACACTTTCCGACAGACCGTGGCGCATACTCGCGGACGGGCATGTGCCACTGGTATGCGTGTATATACCAGAGGTGATTGACACTTAGTGTCTACCAAGGAACGGCGACAACACACGAGGGTAGTTTTAACGCGTGCGCGTTAAGAAAAAGCTGACATCGGCAGCATTGACCCAACGAATGCAAAGAATAAATGTCAGGGTCCCAGCAAGAATCAAACTCCAGCGTTCTGCGTGACAATCAAGTATTCTATCTCAGAGCCACGCCAGGCCTTGGAACTGCAGTGCCAAATAAAAGTTAATGACGCTGTTAGATATGGTTCACGCCATGTGTTGTTATCGAGAAGAGGCGGAGAATGATAGGCAAATGCTTTACAGTCGAGCTTACGAACGGACCTCTTCGCGCTCCAATGCAAAATACGATTCACACATACGTCACTCCTCCACACTTTCTAGCATTGCCGTTAGAAGCAAAATCATTATATTCACACAGGAATGAAATATCGGATCAAATACCTGAACAATAATTGAGGCACTGGACAAACAATTCCAAGTGTGTTGAAGATATTTTCAGAAAACCCGCTCGGGCGAGCTGTAGCAGCAAACGAAACTGCCTATCACTGTCCATGGTATGATTCGACAACGCTTCTGAGTACTGCTATTCGTTGGACGTGTAGCCTTATATGTTTACAGAGAAATCGCACAGCCTTTAGGTTAAGGTAAAGTCAGTGCTGGAAACGAAGAATATGCATTAGTGAAAATTGTATATACCGATCGCATTCGCTACGCTATCCCTTTCAGAGGAAGATGTTGAACGAAATAAACGCGAATCAGGGCACGCATTCCGGTTCTATGTTCACATCGAAATGTTCATTTCAGTTATACAGATCACACACTGTAACTCACTCTTTGTCATTCCCATCACTGGCAGGTCGGGCACCGAGAATCCCATCATCTGAATTCAAAACGATTTTCTTTCAATATAAATGACAGCAGAAAGTGACATAAAATAGGGTAAATTCCAGCCGATCTTGTGACAATGTACAATGCCGAATGGCACGCACCCCGCTAATGAAAAAAAAGGCACACGACATGTCATTGTAAAGCCCAGAAATTCTTTTTTCAGACTTTTCCGAAAGAAGTTCAATTTTGTCTTACACAGCAGGTTCTCTTCAAACCCCACTCTCACACCCCAACCGCTTGCACCCCCGTATACCCTCCTGAAATATAATTCCAGTTCCTCGCTGGCTTCTTCGCTCCTTCTCTTCATCATGAAAGCTTTGGCGGGGTCCGCTAATTAAATGTATTTGTGCGTCGGTGCATACACCACAGTACCCTTCCCCCGAGAGTAATTAGCATAATGGAGCAGAACAGCCTCGCGCTTCCACGCTACTCCAAAGTTAAGAAAGAGGGGAGAAAATGAGTGTGCTGGGCGAGAGGAAAAAAAAGGCAAAGCGGGAAGGAGTACGGAGAACGCGCTGGGGCAAGAAATTGCGCCCCGAATCAGGGAAGCCCTTGTTTGCCCAAATTGCGCGATTCTCCGTCGAGGAAACGTATTGTGTGTGCGGGTGCCAGCAGCCGCATGACAATACCCTTTCTGGTGAGACACGACCCTTAGCGACGAGGAGAACCGCTCCTCCTGCCGACTATCTGCGGCCTCCACGCATTCCAAGTATATAGGCCGGTGGCCGCTCCGAACAACTCCTCAATCTCGCGTCCCAACATTGGAGTGACAATAGCGCCACCTTTAAACCGCAAGGCTTACGTTATCTCGTGTTTATTCTTTTTCACCACTATGGGGGGAGGGGGGGGGGAGAGAGAAAACGGATCAATATCATTCGAGAAAACGGAGGAGACGCGTTTCATCCGCAACAAGCATAAGCACACGATTTCACTGTTTAGTTCGAAGCGATACGAAATAGAGGACCGCCGAGGAAGGAAACGAAACTAAAATGGGGCTCTGTGAGAGTGTCAGAGGAGGGCCGTATCTCGGGAACGGGACTTCTTCGATTCGTCGGCAACAGCGAACCAAAGCTTAGGACCCCTAAAAAAATAAAGGAAAAATATGCAGTAATCAAGAAACGCCCGCGGCCGCTATTAGTTTTCGGGCTCTTACAAGAAAGCCTCGACTTTTCGATTCCTTCCACGCTGGCTGGCCGCCGTAATGAAACGGGGAGGAAATTGCGCCCATATTTGAAAATTATAACAGCGAATGCGCGGCCAGCAACCCTAATGACGGGTCCAAGCAAGCGCAAGCACCACCGTCCAGCTTCTAGCCTCTATCCGCCCTCTACGCAGTGCTTTCCGTCATCACGGGGAAAAAGAAACCGCGACTTATCATTCAGCGAAAAAGTCTCTCTCTCTCTCTTCTCAACTCTCTCCAATTTCAAACCCTCAGCTCCGTGCAAACACGAATGTTCTTCCACAAAGCGAAGCAACATCAGAGGCTGCTGGGGCACGAAGTGTTGCGTTTCTTAAACAATTCCTTCTTGACCATTTATTTTTCTTTGATATTGATTTATTGAGCTCGTGCGTGTGAAAACGTATTCGGAAAGCAAAGGGCTTTTGCATCGGTTTTTCTGTTTTCGTTTGCGGGTGCTCGTATTGTCTTGTGCAATATATTTATTGCATCCTCGCTGATGCAGTCGTTTGTTTATTTTTTGTTCGTTTTTTGTCCACTCGCATACTGCGGACGCTGCGAGTTTCATTCACGTGTCACATGATTTCAATCGATGCACGCTATTGGTGAAAAATGCTACGTCCTCGACAACGAGGACCATTGGAAATTTAGGTGGCATGTCGAGGCCACGTAACCAAGAAAATCGACGAACCGGAAGAACACTTAAATAAATAGAGAACAGTGAGACGCTGATTCATTTGTATATGTTTTATTGTAGTAGTGCATTTTGACATCGTGCATTGACAGCGTGCCTCTGGGTAAAAAAATTGTGGAGTTGCACTCAAAGTGTCGCACTCAAACGTCATCCCTCATCACTAATGTCCCCCTCAGCATCACCTCTCTTTCTCGCCCCCTTGCTGTATTGTAATATACATGAATAGGCTACGTATGACAACAATGGCTGTCCGCTGACTCCCTCAATTTTTTGTCTTAAACCAAAAGTGGTCTGAAGAATCAAAATAAACAAAAACGCAATTCGAGGCAAAATGAAATATTGGATAAATGAAAGACGGGGCGTCGCTGCGGCCGACGTTTCTGCAAACGGACCTTGTCTTCTTCAAGGCCGCAACAGCTTTCTGAAAGTAGTTGCAGCCTTGAAGAAGACAAGTCTACATGTAGAAACGTCAGCGACACGCATGTTCGCAAATTTTTCAGTGGTATAAAGAGTGCGACTTATTCTTCGACTGTCCGCGGTGCGCTGTGACGCCCTTGACTGAGGGCAGCCAGCAATGCTAGATGTCACTTGCGGAACGAGCTGATCCTTTACCGCAAGGCCCTTCTTTCCGTTGGTAAAGGCGTTTCCTTTTTTTTTTTCCCACAGGAGGCCAACATGGCGATCGCGCCTCTGACCATCACCTCGGCCCGGGAACGGGTGATCGACTTCACCAAGCCCTTCATGTCGTTGGGCATCAGCATCATGATCAAGAAGCCCATGAAAAAGAAGCCCGGCGTGTTCTCGTTCATGAACCCGCTGTCGCGCGAGATCTGGATGTGCATCATATTCGCCTACGTGGGCGTCTCGGTGGTGCTCTTCCTCGTCAGCCGGTTCTCGCCGCGCGAGTGGCGCTACGAGGAGACCTTCGTGGGGCCCTCGGTGTCCAACGACTTCTCGCTCTACAACAGTCTCTGGTTCTCCCTGGGCGCTTTCATGCAACAGGGATGCGACATCTGCCCCAGGTACGGGACGACGCACGCGCGCAAGCGGGATGCCCTCGGTATACGCGCGTACGCACACACGCAATGTGTCGCACCGTGTGCCGCACCTCCCGCAGCGACAGTGCCACTCGCAACTCTCAATATTCACGCACTCGCAACTACGCACGTCCCGCGATACCACACACCTCGTAAATGCTTCATAGATATCGTTTCCCACGGCAATAACAGGTGCAGGCTAGAACGCAAAAGGGTTACGGTTTCGGTGATTGGTATACTATTCCTGAATAACAAGAAGAGGGCCTGCACCATAGAATGCAGAATAGTGTTTCGTTTGTTTCGTATCGTCATACCTCGCACCACCGGCGCTGCCCAGATGAAGGAGGGGGAGGGTGGCTGGCGCATTTCCCAATGACCAATCAAGGACAAACACGGAAAGCATTCTGTATTCTGTCGCACGGTACACTCTAAGAAAAAGAAAGAGTTCTTCATCTCTACTGCGCAAGTCTATACATGTGGCGTATATGACACTCTTTAAAGAGACACGTGAAGACTAGCACGTACTCTAATTTTTAGAGTATGTACACCTATTCCCTCTTTGTAAACAGCAATAGGTGCCGTCGACATACTGAGGTGACACAACAGCTGCTTGCTACAAGCGCCTCACGATGTCAATGATGCTTGTAGCAGCTGTCATGCCAGTTGTCGCGTGCTCATAGAAGCTGGTGGCGAGCTTTGGGCTGTGCGGAGCCTACGCGTCGTGGCGTCACTACCAGCGCTTGAGTATGTCGACGGCGCCCACCGCTGTTGACAAACGTGGAATATGTCTATGGGCGCCAAGGCAGCGAGAAACAACAGACTAAGCACCCGTGGCCTCATTGTAGCACACTTCGTTTCTGTTGCATCCTTTGCGCTAGCTTCAATTCGTCATTTCTCAGGTTAATTATTTCGCGCTGCAATCAACCTCCAAGTACAATACGAAATGCATTTGAGCAGGAAGACTTTATGGTCAAATGCATTGTGGCTCTCCCATTTGGGTAGCACGAAAAGAGGTGAACTACCCCGAGTCATGACGAAAGGAGGAAATGTTTAAAAGCATGGTTCAGTGAAAGACAGCGAAAGATACATATCAGTTGAGTCGTTCATACTGCTGCGGGGCGCCAAAGATGAATTTAATAGGAAAGAGGACGATGTTTAGGCTGAGCTCGTGCAGACTGGGCTCCATATTGTATGCCTGCCTGTTTATCTAAAGTAAATATATTTTTCAGACGCCTTTTCCCCATAACATTTTGGTGGAGGGACTGGGTAGTCTCCGAAGAATCGTCGTTCTCGTCTTGATCAGGAATCGCAGAGGCAGCCAGGGAACGTTCGCTACGTAGAATCGTCGTGGATGTTGGCTGTGGAAAGACGAAATCAATGTGACGCCATGGTTCGTTGAGTAGCTACGTGATGAAGTTTTGGACAAGTAAAAGCGCAAAGCCACTCATAAGAATTAAACACGGCATATTTTGTGCTCTCGTACTGTGGCAGAAAGCACTTTGCTTACCTAGCGTGATAATCAAGGGTTTTTAATTATGAGACATGAACGAGAACGCTCGGTAATGCAGCAGTACAACAGCTAATGAAAGCGAACGTTGTGAACGCGACAAAATGACAGTTAAACGTTAAAAAAAATAAGCACTGAATGAAGTGTGGCGCTGCTCAAAATCTACATCAATGTAGGTGTTTGTGCACTGAAACTTGTGTTTTTCACAAAGTTCCAGAAATGACAAGTGGAGCTCGTTCGAGCGCGCTAAGGTACATTTAGGGTAATAATCAAAGCTTTCGTCCGGAGTGACAAACGTTTTCCTGTGGATATTAATGGACAGCTGATAAGTAACATGGCCATAAGGTTAACGCGTGGCAAAAACAAAATATTGCACATTTACGGAAAAAGAAAGTTAAAAATCAAAGGTTCCAGACTAAGAACTCGTCAGGTTAGCCTCGCGTAATATACTAAACAAAGAAGACCCGGAGATCGAAGCGATCAACTTTTCCCAATGTGTGTGTCTGTATGTTTTTTTTTTGTTTAATTTTATTTTATTGCCTGAACCCGGCCAGGGATAGAGTAGAGATATCACTACTTGTCCGAGAAAAAGAACGTACTCGAAGCTTCTTTTTTTTTTTTTATTTGCAGTTTTCACGCACTCGTTTAATTATATGCACGATAAAGAAGACAATTTCGCTGCAAGTATTTCCACGAGTTTGACGAGAAACCCAATTATAGAACTCTACCATTCTCGAAAAATTAACACACAGGAGCTTTGACGTAGTCAATAATTACGTCGAGGCGACGTTCAAACCAGATTCTAGCCACCCGTTGAGGAGGAGAGATACAGGAAGTAAAACGGACACATCGTACAAGGGCATTACAGGCTATGGCAGAGAAGGCAAACACATGAACCGAACGCGCTTCCGCTACAAGGTTGTTTACAAGGAAGCTATACACATGCTCCGAGCTAAGCGCAATCAACCGAAACGCCTTCCCGTGTCAGTTTGTCCTCCTTCCCCTCCTCCTCGAAAAAAAAGGACAAGAAACAAACAAAAACATCGCTCGCACTAAGAAGCCCGCAGTATGGTGTATGGAGAAGAATGTATATTCGGCTCGCGTTCATGCTAACGATCCTTCTCGTCGTCAGTGCATAAATAGGGCGGGGCGTGCACTCGACAACTCCCGGCCTTGGTTTAAACACGGCAGCAACAGCAACTAACTCGCTGGGAAAGAGAGAAGTGCGGGCCTCCTCGTTCTATAACGAACACGCAGCTGTTTTTCCCAGGAGTATGTGTACAAAGTTTAGCGTGTGCAGCCCTCGCTTGCGACTGCCTCCGACGTGCCTGATCCCGAGAGATCGACATTCTCTAGAACGGCACTGCGTGAGTTAGAAGAGCTTTATTAAAACTGCCCCGATCGATTTATTAGGGGAGTTTCAATGTTTCTCGCAACCCTGCCTCCGAGTTACACATTGAAAAATGAAACAACAACGAACGGTTATCAAATGGGGAGCAAACAAACAGTCTAGAGGACGAAGGGATCACGTATGCACACGAGAAAACGACTTGCATCGATGCAGTCGTCGTATCCGAATGGGAGGCGTGTTGACCAAAGACTCGCACCCGAGGCGATGATCTTCCTTCCATCCCTTGAGCGAAGATGAACGAACAAAAGTCCACAGAGCCCATGGTGCGTTTCTGTGTAGCCAGAGAGCGATACGAGTGGGAAAAGGGGATTGGAGAAAATAGTGGAGGATGGGGAGGCGGAGCGCCACGAATCGCTGCAACAGGCTCTGCACCACGCCAATGCCAAAGCGCGGAAGCATTCACGTCTTCTTGCCGCGGGGACGGGGTATGCGAAGGATGGAACCGGATACAGACACAGTGTTGGGGAGCGTGAGAGACGACAAGCTTGCTATCTGCAGCTACTTACTGTCCGAACACGGTATGTATAACCGCCGTACACAAACTCCACGCCGTTCTGATATCGCCGAAATGCAGCGCGGGATTCGCGCATTGTCCACAGCTCGAGCACATTGTGTGGTCCTCTTCTACAACCTGCAAAAGCGAAAACCGAGTATTTTCCGGGTATTACTTTCTCTTTTGTGGAAAAATGCCTGTCAATGTTGGGTGCCGTTAACTTTTACCTGCATTGTCTGCGTTATCACTTACTCTGAGCGGGACTCGGCTGGCTATGCATCACTACTGAACGGACGAAAAAAAGAGGAGTTGTTCGAGAGGCTGGCTTGTATCTGTTGGGCACAACCGAGAATGCCAACAGCCAGTTTAGTCAAGGAAAGAATAGGGCAATTTGTTTGTTGCCTATAACTGTGGTGCGTTACGACTTTGACGTGAATTCAAAGGAGCTAAAGTCGACCCTTTCCGCAGGTGGTATCTGAGCCTCGTACCATTTGGGTTGCTTAGATTACCGACATTCTTTTCTTCCTTTCCCTCCTATGTTGGATGTCGCTTTTCGAACGTCACCTTTCCCTCTCGGCTTTCAAGCCTTCTCATTGATTCCCTGTACGCCCGCTTAAGAAGAGCCAAAACTTCTTTTTTTGCGGAAGTTACGATTACGTATGAATAGCTACAAAATGAGGGTCACCAAGCAACTGTAATTCGAACTTCGCAAGTTTCACGGATCAATCAAGAGTTGGGCTTTTAGGACACGTTAAACTCAAGTTCTAGTTAAGATTACTGGTGCTTCAAGAATAATGGAGACGTACAAATCTCCTTCATATTCAAGTAATTATTATTTTCTTAGGATTTCTAGGGTACACTTTCTGCCCATACAACATTAAAAAAAGCGTCATCTTGTACAAAATCGAACAGTCTAAGTGAAGTTAGAGCAGTTATATCATCAATTCATAAACATAAGTAATCCTTATACATTAGGAATGCTTCACAGGTTTACACTTAAAAACATATGACGCTGCATAAACTACCAGCATTTGGGACAGTTAAGTGTTCAACGCTAAAAAACGGCAGGCAAGTGTAATACAATTTTTTCCAATCATAAGCACCATAGCTAGTATGGTCGCAGAACTCAATTTATTAATGGGCCTTTGTAACTTATCTTAGGCCATCAGATGGATACTTTCCAGAATTTGGCGAAATCATTTTCCAAGGTTCATGAGATTATGTGCATAAGTACCTAGTTTATTACGAGCAACTGTGCGCTGTATTTTATAACAGAAAGCTGACTCAAGTATTGCAAGCTTGTAATAGGAAACAAGAAAGCCTATTTTGCGGTAGCTGCCAGTTGTTCACGTAATAATGTTTTATGAGTGAAAATTTGTTGACCTGTTTGGTAACGCCAGTGTATTGACGACTCAGGCCAACATTTTCGCTTACATCGAAGCGCAGGCTACGACAAAGAACGATTGAATTTAAGAAAAAAAACTTCATACAGAATAGGTCTGAAACCAAGATAGATAAAATGTTCAATATTCTTGAATGCAACGAGACGTAACCGTCTTTGTTTGCTTTCGCGACCATGCCGAAAATGTTATTAATATGCGTCAAGAATTTACTCAATAAAATAATGCACAAAAATAATGAAAACATCTGTCGGCAAGGTCAGTGCTGTGATAAATCGACGCATGCCTGAAGTAGAGGGTCAGATTTCGTTTTTTCCTCTTTTTTGCCCGAGGCAATAAAGGTGTAATCAAAAAGTGATAGACGCGTCCAAAATGACGTACATTTCTCTGCAGGTACTCTGCCCCGCACAAACAAACGTACAAATTTAAAGAGAGAAAAGTGCGAGTACATGCGGCTTTTAAAGCCTGATACATTTCCGTACCACCGGAAGACACACTGCGCCATCGGTACGACCAGTTCGTGCCGAAAGGAAAACCGCCCCTCCATTCAGAGTGAACCTCTTCTTGAGCATAATGCAGCGTGCCGAGTCCGCATCTCGGGGAGTACCAATGCGGGGAAGCACCTTACGTAACGCGTTCTGCGTCAAGATCACGCTTCGCCAAACCGTGACACCAACATAGCAGCGAAGCCGAAAGGCGAAGCGGTCATTTCCATCTTCCCAAATAGGGCGGAGACATTCGCACGCCGAACTACAAGCCGGCAGCTGTCAGCAGCCACTGAGACGCGCGCGATAAGACCCGCATGTAGTTCGAGTGGGCACCGAAGCCGCGATCGGGAGCACGGGAGGGTGACAGGAAGTGCGGGTAGAAAGCTGTTCATTGCAGGTGGAAATGAAGGAAGACGGCCGGTCAAATGGCGGGGGCCAAGCTGCGCTCGCTTCTGGGGCAGACTTCGCGATTCCCGCCGCATACTGCTGTCCAGGGTCGATGAGAGACTGCTGCTCTCTCGCAGCACACGCGAGGCGCGCTGTGATGATGACCCCATCGCTGCTTGGCTACATCTCCCACTCGCTCGCGTACCTTTTCCTGCACGCCCGCCCCTTTCTCCCGACGCCAGTCTGTGTGTTCCGTTTCGTATCTCACGTTACTTGTCTTACTCGCCGCCACTCCTCGAATTTGTGCCTGCACACCTTTTTTACTGCTAATGTTGCCACGAATGGCCGATTTCTCGCACTGTGCACAAAGGAGATCGCGCATGCTTGAGGCGCGATCACACTGCGTTGATTTCGTTAAGCGCGCCGAGTCGGAACATGTTTATTGAACAGTGACACGGGAAAAAAAATTGAACAGGCGCCTTATGTTATTTTGTTTTTGCTGCTATCATGTCAAATTGAAAAATGTCGAAAAAAACAATATTTTGGATGTGTAGCTCCAAAAAATGAACTTATCGAATACATTACGGCGAGAATGTTTGATTGAGTAAGTTTGTATCGGTAAGCTTGTTAAAATGATTCACTTACTGAAGTTGCATTCGATGCATTCTTCTTTCCCGTGAACCTGCTCATCTCGCTTGAGAGCGGTAAAAACAACGAAAGTATGTGCAACATAGTATGATTGGCATAACTTATAGCGTTTTTCTTCGCTCATTATAGAGATGTGTGTAAATGAAGGGACGAGCGCCACACTTGTGTTTAGTCATAAATGAAAATAAATGAACTTAGCTGGCTCTAATGTTCACGTTCGTGCTCGAAAGGACGTTTTCATGCTACAACAAGATAGATAAATCAAGACACGGGCACGTATACCTATATAAACAGGTGAGAAGCTCCAACCCATGGGTATACGTTTCTAACGAGCATTCGTCCGGCGCGGAGCGCATTTTTTTATTAGGCTCGAATACCCCAGCTACACGCGCACATAACAGATCATCCGCGCTGTCAGCGCCCCTTAAAAGATGCATACTCACACCAGAGACGCAGCTTGGCGCAGCGAGAAAGTCGCGCCCGTAAGAGGAGCCGGTGGTAAATACCTTATCTGCCTCCTCCTAGCACTCCATGCCTCAGAGTCATTTGCGATTCACCCAGAAGAGAGCAGGCTTCTTTTCTACAAATGTGTATGCTTCTCAGCCTGGTATACGTGCCACACATTGCGACCATCTCCGGCTACATCATGAACATGACATCTATACTCGTCTCACTCGCATCAGCGCAACCCTCCTCCCTCAATCCCCATCCTTCATGCACGTACTACCAGCATATGGTCGCTGGCATGCCTGCTAATATAGTGCTAAGAGTACGAGGGGCAGATGGCGACCTTTTTCAGGTGTGACGTACGCCCATTTACACGAGACGACGGAAGCCGCCGATAACTCCATCCCATATAGGAACGCTACTGACGATAATCTCGGATAGTGTTTGTTTAGGAGATACGCGATGTGAACATCTCCGGGCACAAGCAACGTAAGTGTCCCGCATAAGGCTCATTCCCACCTGCGACTAGCACTGGTGGTGCGACAAAGCTCATTATTTTCTATGCGACGTTTCCAACTACGTTTACGTCTTATAGTTTGTTCATTATGTTTCTATACGACGTTTACGTGATCACCCCCAAACTCGAAGCTCTAGTGCTATTTCCAGGGTAAACCAAGGCTTCCGCTACCACCATCAACAGCACAGCACACAAAAGAAAACCGAAGGTGAAGCAAACGCAGGAGGAGCAGAGACTAAATTAAGTAATTGAATGGCTAGCCACTGTCAAATCTTCGAGGCCACCATGCTTCAGGTATAGAAGCTTGACGTACAGGCTTTTCGAAGTCCACATATCGTGGGCGGGGATATGCATAGGTGCGACCACCGCAAGCTTGTAATTGGATCTTGCTGTAACGTCTGTCTCCCCTCGTTAGGGCGAAATTCGTACGAGAAATCTATCTGGCACTGCCGAAGTTAATATCATTACTTAGCCACACTTTTTTGTCCTATTTCACCACCTGTCTGCCCTATAGTTTTACTATAACATTTCTCCCCTTTATCCCTTCCCCAGTGCAGGGTAGCAAACCGGATGTGCGTCTGGTTAACCTCCCTGCCTTTCCTTGCATCTTTATCTCTCTCTCTCTCGTTGCACCTAAAACTCGAACTAAGGTTTGCTAAATCCAAGGCGTTAAAACAAAGAACTTTACTTGCGTACGACGCAAAGAACGCCTGTAAAAAAATGTTTCACACAAAAAGAAGCAAGACTTAAGGTGGAAAACGCCTAAGAATGTCACCGCTTTCAAAAATGTGCGCTCTACATTTTGTTAAAAGCATAAGCGCTGTTGCTACTCTCAAGGCAAAAAAAATATGACAAAAAAATGATGATAATAACACAGTGGGCCCTAATTAGCATTCATCTAAAAATGATCGAGCGATTCTGTTGGAGATTTCCGAGTTCGAACGTGATAGCGCGTGCTCTGTTCATGCCTGTCACCCGTGGAACCTAGACGAGTAATCTCGTCAGGGCAATTAGACGAGCTGAAAATTTAATAAGAGTAATCAAATATGTACCTTCAATAAAACGACAAGTTCCATAACTAGCTTCCGGCGCTTTTGCAGCGAAGAAACCGCCATACTAAAAACTGTGGTTTATATAGGATCATAAGCTGCCCAGGCTGCATACGGCGCAAAAAAAAACATACAGAAAATTGCTTTTACGGCGTGATTATCACCATTGTTTTATATTTGCTTAATTTTTCTGTTCCTTAATTTTCGAAATCGTCGAGAACACCTGGAGATGTACTGAAAGGCTACCGCTATATCTGGCGTGATTAATTTTGATTTAACCTGACGTGAACATCGTATAATACAGGGAGGCGTCAAGTTTGGCTTCCTTAAAGTGTTCCGAGAAGTTTGTTAGGCTAGCTGTGCAAGCTCTCAGGAGACTTGCGTGACCGACTTGAAACCGGAAGCCAAGCATCGTTACGACGCCTTTTCATTACTATTATTTTCATTCATGAACCTCGTTCTCCCTACCATCTTCTCTAGACTAAGGGAAGACAGATAAGCGGCGACCGTTATACGAGGTAAAAGCAACACCCAACGCCAATGAGGCGCTTTTTCCGTGAGTGCGATAACAGTGCGGATGTAAGTATAGGTTGGGAAGGAAGTAGTGGCAGACGATGAGAGCTGAAAGCGGCACGCATCACGCCTAATCTCGTCTTCAAGTTAGTGTGGGCGGAGTGCGGTGCAAACTAAAAATTGATTGTTGAAATGTAAACAGCGGCGCTCCGACGAACCTTCGTGAACGAGCATTAAGGAGAAGTCTCGTCCCGCCTTTTTCATTCTTTTGTATTTGTGTGTCACGAGCTGTTCATTAGGCACCATTGACTGCTCATCAGGCATTGTTCTATTACGCTAACAGTGAAGTGATTAGTGACACGTGGCATGCACTATATGGAAAAGTTTAAGATGGTGTTATGACAGAGTATGCAAGCTGGTTATCTATACACAAAAGGATAATTTTCGTTGCCAGCCATTGCAGCAATGCACGTCAGTAGTTTTCGAAAATTTCGCTCGTCATCTCAAAAGACCCGTTGAGCCGCTCCCGTTGCAATGTCTGCATGACCATGCTTGCGTCCCAAGTTTAACAAAAAACATCAAATTCGTTCGTGAAGGTTTACGTGGCAAAACTGCGCTATGAATACAGGGAAAACTTGGCAATGGTCCATTACTTGATACATTATCAATTTCTTTGACAAAAACTACAAGAAGTATTGCACGCAGCGAGAACGGACACGTACAGAACACATCAGTGCAGTGATGTTTCCTTAGTCTGTCCTTTTCTTTCCTTCACTCCCTTATTCTCTTCTCCCAATGTCTAACAAACCAGACGTAGTCTAGTTAACCTCTCTATCTTTCCTGTATTCTTTTTCACTCTTTCCCTCTGGTCTGCTTTTTTTTTAATGCGTATTCAAAACTTTTTGTAGCTTTGTGAAAAGAAAGAAACTCTATCGCGATCATGAGTCACTCCGCATTAATTTACGACTTCCTGGAGTCATCTAACTGGTGCCTATAGCTAAGTACGAGGGAGTGATTTCTGCATTTTGTCCCCGTCTAAATGCGGCGCGCGGCAATCCAACCCGCGTCCTGGAAGCTGAGAGCAGCGCGACACGCGTCGCAGGTCCGTGTCGGGCCGCATGGTGGGCAGCGTGTGGTGGTTCTTCACGCTCATCATCATCTCATCGTACACGGCCAACTTGGCCGCCTTCCTGACCGTCGAGCGGATGGTGACGCCCATCAACTCAGCCGACGACCTCGCCAAGCAGACCGAGGTCGAGTACGGCACGCTGTGGTACTCCTCCACACAGGAATTCTTCAGGGTGAGCGCTCTATACACTCCTTACCTCGCCTAGCTCGTGTTTGCCAATTCCACTTTGCTGCTGTCGCTGTTTTGCATATATATATTAAAAACATGCATGAAAAGGTAGGTTGTCGTCGTCGTCGTCGTCGTCGTCGTCGTCGTCGTCGTCGTCGTCGTTGTTGTTGTTGTTGTTGTTGTTGTTGTTGTTGTTGTTGTTGTTGTTGTTGTTGTTGTTGTTGTTGTTGTTGTTGTTGTTGTTGTTGTTGTTGTTGTTGTTGTTGTTGTTGTTGTTGTTGTTGTTGTTGTTGTTGTTGCAAACGGGCGCGTACTGTTTGTTCTTTTTTTTTCCGGGACTAAGATCTTCTCGCGTAGACGCTACACTAACACGTGCTCGGAACTGCGCTTCTTCTTTGGCATCATCAACTGAGGACCGTGCTCAACAGCTAAACTCGGAAGCTTCTGTCGTTAAAGCCGAACGTTATTGTCAAACCCGTGCAACCTCGCCTTTGTCCCATACACACAGAGCGCCCGTCGAAAGGTACCACGGGGTCGCGCGCTATAAATCGAGCCGTCCAGACTCAGCGGCAGCCGCAAAGGAGTGCGTCGGAATAAAGAGGCAAAGCTCGCCTCGGCTTCCTGGCACCGCTTGATTGCATTGAACACTGGGCGTGCCCGCTTTGTCAACGGTTTAGCGCGAATCCCCCAGGGTGATACCGCCGTTCCCCGACGAGGCTTTTCTCACACCCGGAGAGTACGATAAGCAAAAGAAATTTGCGTCGTATCAGCGGCCCGCTCTGGAAAGGGCCTCTTCTTCTATCGCTGGGAGCGGCTGCGCGTATACAACGACTGTTATTTTTGTGTCAATGTTTTTCCGGGTGTTTCGGCTGTTGTGGCAGTGAAGCCGAAACAATTTTTCGTATTTTGATGTTTCTCTTGTATATTGCTGCCACGATGTTAGGATAGGCGGCTCTAGCGTAGCCGACCTTCCCATACTTTGCTAATTCCAAGTTAAAAAAAAAAAACTCCGCAACACTGAACAGTGCCAGAAAGTGTTATCCCGCATTATTATCCGGCCCATCCTCCTTTTTTTTTTGTTATTATGGTGTCGAGTGCGTTATGCTTGAGCGACGGTTACTTATAGCGATTGGCATTCTTATGTTACCCTACGTAGGGAACTTTTCTCGTTTTTCACAGACACAACGAAAAGAATCCAACTTCGAAACTGACATTCTCGTCACAGAGATTCGAGGCCACAACCTTCTTTGAACCCACACAGCTTTTTTGTGCATTTCGATTAATTACAATTTACGTCATAATTACTACACTATAGCTAAAGACAACAATTGATATTCCCCATGCTTTCTGTGGCCTAACTGTCAGTTAGATTTATTTGGCTTTGCATACGTAGACATGCCGTAAGATGCCCATTTCGTTAGCATAATGCTCACTTTATTGTCTTTACTTCGTGTACTCATGCGCAACATATACGCGCGATGACAATGAATTGGTGTTAGTATAGAACTATGAGGCTACTTTGACAAGAGTTAAACGTCAAAATCAGTGCTGGCACTATAATCTTTTGGATCTTTAATTGCGTATAATATCTGCCCAAATCCACTTAATCTCCCGGTCCTCTCTCTCTTTCTTACTCGCTCTGCTTAGAGTGCGTGATGCGCATTTATTTTCTATTATTACTTTTCGGCCTCATACCCGCATATACCACTCTGTCTTCAATTGCGTTTGCATTATGCTTTTTGACACGACGCCCACGAGCCAGAACGATAAAGTTCAAGCGAGCAATCCACCTTTCACCCTACCCCGTCTTTCTCCCGTGTCTGTCATCACGCAGAGGTCGAAAATCGCAGTCTACGCCCGCATGTGGGAGTTCATGAACTCGAACAGCCGGGTGTTCACCTCGTCTTACGAAGAAGGGATCCGGCGCGTGCGCGAGTCCAAGGGCAAGTACGCCTTCCTCATGGAGTCCACCAAGAACGACTACATCAACGAGCGCCAGCCCTGCGACACCATGAAGGTGGGCGGGAATCTGGACGCCAAGGGATACGGGGTGGCCACGCCCCTCGGATCCACTCTCAGGTAAGTGATGCCTCGGGCCAAGGTCACGCTATCGAAGAATGCCGACCTCACTTGTGTAATCTTATCAAGCGTTCGTTTTGCTAAGATTGTTCTCAAACTGGAAGAAGTTTTGCTGATAAGATCATAATCTACGGCACAGTTGATTTATTCATTTATTTATTTATTTATTTATTTATTTATTTATTTATATTGTGCTGAAAGCGAGGGCTATGCTTGACGCCACATACGGAAACCTATACGTACATCACGCCGATTCATGTGTACAAGCATTACAGCGTTACGCAGCCAGTGCAGTCCTGTTGCCGTCCACAAGAGTTGAATCTATGAACATAAACAACGAAAGAACGCAATGACACTGCGTTAGTGCGGTGGATTCGATCCTCAATTGCTGACTTTCGCAGACATAGCCTTTTACGGTTAATAGCGCAGTGAACGAGGGAAGGAAAGAGACGGAAAGAGTACAGACAGAACAAAGTGGTGATGAACATCTGGTCAGTTTTGTTGCAATAAGAATAACAAATCTAATCAAATGTCTTTACTTCATATCATACCTTGCCGCTATCTGTACGGACTCTATCCGCAATGTGATCCCGATATATTAACTGGACTATGACCATACATAACGTGCTTATCCATGCATTATATGCCCTATAATGTGTATAGTATTGTACATACTGGCTTTGATTGTTTTGCTTCTTTTATTCTTAATTTTGATTTTTGTGTGTTTATATAGTGCATTGCTGTTATGATGTTGGGATAGCCGGCTCTAAAGTAGCCTACCTTCCCATGTTCCACTATATATTAATTAAAAAGGAATAACAAGCAGGAATAACAACTAACAAATACTCTACCAGTGGTCAAGGACTTTTTTTAACATACCATATCATAAAAACTAAGTCAAAGTTGCCGAATTAAAAATAAAAGGCATAACCTCCTGCACTTCGGTGTTACAACAGCATACAAAGGTATAGACTTCTTGTTGCAACTTTCCTTGCCTTGTGAGTTTTGGCAACATGATTTCTATCTAAGTGTATTCGCATGCACAAAAACAGAAAATAAGAATCCTAAGAAAATGTCAAGAGAAAAGTGGACAGTGTGTGGTGGAAACCTTGTTGACGGACACTTCATAAAGGAATAATTTTTTTTGAAGTTTATTCAGACAGTCATGGTCTGGGATGAAGGGGCTAAAGGCAGATGCAACTGCCTGACAAAGGCCCCACTACCGAAGGTATCACGAGAACATGACATAAAAGAAAAGAGCAATCAAAGCTTTCCAGTATACAGCAAATAAAAGTGTTCGCGGCATTTTGCTGCAACTTTACATCGACGTATAGTGACGCTTGACGTTCCACTCTTCCGACTGGCAGGGACCGCCTAAACCTGGCCGTGCTGACTTTCAAAGAGAACGGAGACCTTGCGCGCCTCGAAAACAAATGGTGGTACGATAGGAGCGAGTGCAAGACGGGCGACAGCAAGGTGAGCCAATCATATTCAGGCCGGAGCACATAGTGCGACGTTTATCGCGTCAAAGCACGAACCGAAATAAAGGATAAAGCGAGTGTGGTAGTGAAAATATCTGCCTCCATACCACATACTCCAAGAGGGCTGTCCCTCGTTGCGGCATAGTATCCATCTGCATTGGCCTCAACCTCACTGGCATAGAGACGGTCGGCGTTATGCAGGCTGAAAAGGCAATGATGGGCTTTAGAGCGCAGTTCTTAAGGCCTGACCACATACGTGCGTTGCAGCGCGTCAGCGCGGGACTTTTTGACGTGGCGTCATGCCCTCTCTCTACGGAGAGAGCGAGCACGCAGCTCCGCGTAGCCATGCACCCTCTCTTCCTAAAGGGAGAGGGCACGGCGCCGCCTCAAAGAGACCCGCGCTGAACCACTGCAACAGGTTCGTGTAGTCAGGCCTTTAGGCGCCTGTTACTGCGTTGAGCGGCGTTGCTCCAAGATTGAGAGTAACTTCGGAAGACTCTCCCTCAGGGGACCCCACAGCGTTGACGGTGCGTTGACAGCACGTAGTTGTTTAAAGCGAACGCCCCCCGAATTAATGAACTCCCTAAGCTAACTGCACATGCGCTGTCTAGTTGGATGGTGCCACAATGGCGACAGCGCTCGTTGATCCTGGAATGTTCGGATACTTCATATGTTCGCGTATTATATTAAGAGAACTGTCTGAATTTGCGCACTTTCTTTAGAAGTCCGTACTTTTGCCTACACTGGAACGAAGTGCACAGCTCTTGCTGCCCCGAGACAAACTCGAGCTGAGTGTCTCTCGTGGTTCCACCGACAGGAGTCGACACAGAACGAGTTGACGCTGAGTAACGTTGCCGGATGCTTCTACATTCTCATCGGTGGCCTCGTGCTTGCTATGGTGGTGGCCCTGCTTGAGTTCTGCTATAAGTCGAGGCTGGAGGCATCCAGATCTAAGGTAAGCATGCATTCGCTCGACGCTGCCTGTACGCGGCGATTTTCACTGCCGAGCACAGTGGGCTATATGTTACCAGGTCGCCCAGAACGTCTGTCAGGAGACCTTGAACCTTGTGCATTAGTGTACAACAAAATTATGTGCATACGCTCAACTTTTTCACATGGCGGCGGCTCGAGAATCGCTGTACATGCGTTCAACTCACCCTTTAAATAGACAAAAAAAGCACCATGAAATGTAGCGTAAGAGTGATACTTAAAGGTTACCAAAGCGTGCTCTCCAATTTTACAACAGGGAACAAAGAATAATCTCCACAACCTTTTATCACAATAATCTGCTACTTTAAACATACCGTTTTACGCGTATTGTACGTTTACTTTAAATCTGCGTAGTGTATGAATTGAAGCAATGCATCGTGGCGTATATTTTCATGCGCTGAGCGGAGTGGTTATGGCGCCGTGGAGGAGTTTGGGTTGAAGCAGAGATGTGGGAAAGTTCCGATAGCAAGCGACGAAAACTTGCACATGCATACCCCTTAGTATTACCCCTTAGTATGGATTCGGATAGTTGTTAGACTGCTTATCATGTAGATATAGCCCTATAATGAGCAAATAAAATGTTTGAATGTGTGAGATGGATGCAGTATTGTATCTTTATTGATGGGAGCTATTCAGGCACTGAAAATGGCGAAAAATACATGTATTAAGGAAGAAACGTATGTTGATTAAGAACAAGTTGGGTTGAAATAACTAACAAAGTTGTTTCCACTGACACAAGACATTACATACATTCGCTCTTCTATGCCTGACAGCACCAACGACAAATTTTAGCGAATTACAACGTGCTGCGTCCTTGTAAGATCAATACATCCAGCTCCAAAAAGCTAAATTCCGCGGATATTCATACACAGCCGCTTTTTGTGCGTAATCCGCGGAAATGCAGCCCACACAAACAGCACGATCTGCCACGCGGGCGCGTGCGATGTTCCGGCTGCTTAAAGTGTCATCAATTTTACACAACAGGCGAAAGCACAAGCAAGGAACCTGCATTGTGTGACTCGATCGCAATTACTTCTCGTTGGATCGCGTTCCCCGAGGCCGCAATCTTGGCGGGGCCACTTCGACTTTTCATAAATCACGCTGCGGGGTTTCACTTTTCCACTCTTTGCTCTTCCTTCGCGAAACACTGAGGAAGCGACGTACTGTGCCAAGTTTAAAGAAAACGAAAACCTCCAAGACCTCTGACACGGGTAACAAAGTGTGTTCCCGAACTCGGAATTCTGCGTCTCGCGGAGCACCTTTAAGAAGAAGTCATTCTTTACGTAAATAATCACCGCTTATAACTCCTGTCTCAGCCTTGCTACTGTTGCTCCTATTTTCTCATCATTTGTGGTCAAGTTACACTGTTCGAAAGCTGTTAACTAAAGAACAATGAAGAACTAAGAGAACTTGCGTGATTGTTCGCTTCTTCGCGAACTGTCAACGCACCATTCTTCTCATTTCAACACTCGCAAGGCTGCTGTTCACTTTTTTTAATTTTGTTTCAACGCATTCGCGAGTGATTATCGCTTACGCTCGACGTAACAAATTTAAACTTGCATTGAAAAAAAAAGAGCGATGCATTTGGTATCTAATGTCAGTGGTTGCACCTAAAACCCGTCTTTTATGTCATATATATTTATTTTAAAATTACCCTGTATGAGTGTTACGGTTTCATTTTTCTTTCTTTTTCACTCTGTTCTGAGTGGTAGCATAATGAAAAAATTTATTTTTCAATTTACGTCAGCCATATTCAGCACTGCACTTTTGTGTCCACCATTCCGCGCTTCACTCTAACGACCGTCAGCTGCAACCATTTCGCCCAAGTAAGCTTCTTTTTTTTCTCCCTTTCTCCAAATTATTTCTCAAGGTCTTTCATTTCCAAGCCCTGCCCTTCACCAATTCCACGGCCGTCGCCATCCATTTCTCATAAGCGCCGCCGGACGAGTTAAATTAAAGGCTTCGCACCCTCCTCCAGCTTCCTTGGTGCCGTGCATACCGCGAAGCTCAAAAGCAAGAATGTGAAGAATTCTCGCCGCGTAATCCATTTCGTCAGCGATTACAAGTGAGGGCCGCGGTTGGTGAAGATGGGGAAAGGCGTTCCTATGGCTTCCTATTTTCCCTGTGCATCTCTTGTCGGGCCAGAAACCCTTAACACGAACTCACTTTCAGTCTCTCTCGCTTTACGTTCATCACGGCGCTATCTTTTTTGTGTCACTCCACTCTCCTCCTCTCTCTGGTTGTAGTAGTGAAGCGAAGTAGTATAAAGGGAAGGGAGGGAGGGAGGGAGGGAGGGAGGGAGGGAATAGGGAGGGAGGGAGGGAGGGAAGGAGGGAGGGAGGGAGGGACCTGGGTTGGCTTTGTCCGCTATGCGTTTCGCAACAGCCAGCTCAGCAGAAAGACAGCAGAGATCCATGGCGACGGGAAAGGTGCCAGTACTACAGCGAAGCGCACCCATCTTCTCGGAACAGCGACGAGAAAGTGAAGAGGATGAGCCCGCGAAATAATGCGAAAAACGGGAACATCGTGCTACAGTTTCGCTTGAATAATTCATACCACGTTTCCTTTTTGCTTGCCTGCTTTTTTTTCAGCCATATTACTTAGTTCACGCACCTGCTCTTTCGCTCATTTTATCTCACTCTCCTTCGATGCCTGTCTACGCGCAGGCGCAGTATAGGGACGGAAGCGCATTTATCATCGTCCTCGCTTCTACTGTTGCCGTCACTTTGCTTTTGCTACACGCCGCGACTGTTTCCTGGAAAGCAGGCGATGCATTGGCGATGTAGAAAATCGCCAAGCTATAGTCGCCCCCACGTCAATATTTATTTATTTCAGTGTTCTTTACTCGAATTGGATCACGCGCGTTGTTTATTGGTGTTTTTGTGCTTACCCCTCTCTTTTTTTGTGTGCGTGTTCGAACCATTCTCTCCGCAGGGCGTCAGATAAGACACCGAAGCATCACTCGCACAGCGCCTTGGTGTTTTTCTGAAGACAATGGCCTTCTTTCTATATGCTCAGCTAAGTCTGTGTCTGGCTTTCTCTCTCACTCTCTCTCTTTCTTAAGAAGATGAAAAGTGGAGCACGATCCGCACGATTTGGCCCTGACGGTGGAGTGATCTTTGTTTCTGCGCGCAGCATCCTCGCAGTTTGTCTCCACTGTCATTTCCCTGCGAGTGCCAACTGATCGGCGAAGGTCGAGAACAGAAGAAGGGAAAAAAGGAGGAGGAAGGAAGAGGATGAGTAATGGAGTATTAAGGAGAAACCTGCGGAGACAGCGCCTAAGAGATGATGAACGCATTTCTGCCACTCACGCCGGGAAAAAAAATGGGGTGGCCGCCTCGGTGACTGCTTTTACGAAAATTTTCAGAGAGACGACGCCGACGACGTGCGGTTCTGAGAGCTACTTTCTTTTGCTTTACTGGTCAGCTTCCTTTCTTCGACATTTCACGCATCTTGTCTCAGCTCTGACTACTACAATGTGGCTGCTTTTATTTCGCTCCGCGCGGCGATTCCCGGGGGCGATGAAAGTTGCAATAGCCTGTCTGCGGTAAGTGACAGCGCCTCTAATGATTCAACTGAGGTAGAGAACCATTTTCTCCAATGGTGCTGCCTGTCGTGCTCCAGAATTAAGGTACTGAATTCCCGAAAACATTACGAGACAAATACTTTTATCTCCCGAGCAAAAACGGGTGAGAGATCAATGTTGGCCTCACGACAGAGTCCATTAAAGGGACAGGAAGTTGACTTTTATGCTGGCTTCATTTTTTTTTTTTCATAACAAATACCACAACAGAAGATTTAGTGGCCAGAGTATCCATCACAATGAATAAATTTTATCGCGACTTGGGGCAACCTAACTTCAGTATGGTAAAATGCCTTGACATGTAACGTTATTTTGCTTCTTCTACTTTTTTTCTTTTTTTAAGGATCGGTTGACCTCAGAGCGCTCGTTAGAATGTCACACAAAGTTTTTGGCCGAGCCCATCTTCAGCCCAGAAGGCTTTGAAAGCTTTGCTGCGTTTTTTGCGGACAACTGGCCTCAGAGACAGACTATACTCTTTGATGTTGCCTTTCCTCTGTCGCAATTTTTTTGTAATTTCTGTCTCTCTCTTTTCGAAACATTTCTTTTCAACATCTTTTATTCCCCTCACCCCTTTCCCCAGCACAGGGTAGCCAGCCGCTCTAAGAACTGGCTAACCTCCCTGTCTTTCCGCTTAAACTTTCTTCCTCTCTTCCTCTTCCACACAAAGTTTTTCCTTAATAATCAAGTAAGACCTCGTAACACAGTGTTAAAAAAGCCGATGCGAACTCAAATACGCGCTCGCTGTTACGCGTTCTTTTAAACCACTTTTTTCTAACCTCAGTGATCTTTTTCTCCTTTTCTTTCTTTGCAGATGAGTATGTACGACGCCATGAAGGCAAAGGTCCGCATGTCGATCACCGGCACGCAGAATGGAGACCGCAGCCTAGACCACGGAGAGCGAGGAAGGGTACGCCAGGATACTCTGTAATTATGACGCCCCCTATCTTTTTTGTGTTCGTTCGTAGCCACCCCCTGTAGACACCCTTGCACAGCTAGCTACTTGGCAGCTCTCGACGAACGTGTCAATACTGCTCGACACTCTAACCTCGATATAACGAACACGAATATAACAAAACATTGGTTACAACAAATATAAATGAATTATAGCCTTGCAATAGATACAGTGTTAGAATTGCCTTTATATCGATTTCTTGCATATAATGGACTTTTTTGTGTAAGATGCAACTTTGTTTTCATGAGGTCTGGCACGACGTTCGCACGCTCGCAAAAAGCACGAGAGCCTTGAAATACGCGGCGGCAACATTTGCGAATGCAAATCAATTGGGAATAACCGAGTTGGAACAGCAATATTTATTGAGCTGACATTTATTTTAAAGGCAGCAGCCAGCCTATCGTAAAGAAATTGATAAATAATATAGGCATGCTGTTAGCTAACGGTAATGTGTATTGACAGGTAGCTTGCACAAACAACATAACCATTCCCCAAAAAAAATAAAATTTATGACCACGCTAATGGAAAAGATAGCCTAAGCAGGATTACGTTTATGCACGACGAAACAAATTTACACTACTCTTACAATGAGAGAGTGCTTGATTAGCAGGAAAATACGCTGAACTGACACTCATTGCTGTTGAATTTTTTTCATCAGTCACCCACACCACCGCACATTTTAAAGTCACCCGTTGACCCATCTAGTTCATTTGTTTTCTGGTAAACGTGGACTGAACTGCATTCCATAGAAGCTACAAATTGAATTTAATCATTACTTGAAACATTCGCCGTGACGAAAACAGCCACAATCTAGATTTTTCTCAAGCAAATATTGAAATCTGTGTCGTTATTCTTATCTACTGGCGTTCAGGTTAATGTATAGTTTTAACATAATTAAAACTTTTTCTAGAAAAGAGCATCTTGCAGAAAATTTGAAAATCTATACTACACAAAGACTATTTTGTCTGTCCAAAGCGGTTTATAATTTCACTTCTTTCTCCGTTTGCTATGCATTGTATTCTGCATGGAAGAAATATGGTCACAAATAAACGAAAACACCAACATCGCCACACTGCCTCAAAGGCAGTGGTACCTGAAATAGCAAAAGAGTTCATAAACAGGTGATTCCGGTGGAATGTTTGTCTGTGTGTATTTTCAAATGCGAATGCATTTCTTAGTTCGGGCTATGTCAGACGTCCATCGGGATTCGCCCACCACCTTCTCCCATAGCAACAGCTGCGGGCACGCACGCTCATCCTCGCCCCTAGCAACCAGAAAACGTGGTGTGAGAGAGTGTACGAGAGAGTGGGTGCAGCGCTTTCCCCACTATTTCTCTCGCCATTTACTCTCTCTTCTCTCTGCGCCCCCTTTCCCCGTCCACTCGCGCCTCACTCTCGACCGTTCGCTGGCCTCTCAAGGACATCCGGGTATGTGTGCTCTAGCAACGCCGACTAAATTTCAAGGCCGAAAGGCTGCCGCAGTGACATAAGAGGTTGGGGGCCCAGTTGCCCAACTGAGCATGCTCAGTAGGACTTTTTTCCACATCTTTTATTCAGCCCAATCTAGCCGCAGCAGCAGCGAAAGCGGGAGCGTTGGTTCTCCTAAAACGTGAACGAAACAAATGCTTTCCGCCGCGTTCGCGGCGTAACTGGGCCCCCACCCTCTGACGTCACTGCGGCAGCCTTTCGGCCTTGAAACTTAGTCGGCGTTGGCTCTAAACGCCACTGTGAAACTCAAACACCGAGCCGAGAACGCTATTTGTTCTGTTCACTTCATAATATTTTTTAGTCGTGCGCGCTAGCTACTAGAGCTGGAAACGCACACCACGTTTCTCGCGACAAAAAAACGCCACGTGCGGCTAACGGCGCTATTGGCAGCACGGTGTAAAAAAAAAGAAAACGTTCCTCTAACGCTGTGTTCTACTGCGAAACGCCCTTATGCACGCTACGCAGTGCAGTCGCATTTCCTCACCATTCCCTTCGGGGAGGTGGGGGCTTTTTTTTTTTTTTTAAGCATTTGTAGTCTCACATAGGTAGTCTCACATAGTACAACATGCCCTTCGCTGAATTGTCCTTGCATAAGTACCTTAACAAACATTCCTATGTAAACTAATGTGTTTTTTTAAACTCAAGCGTAACCATTTTATTTATTTACTGCCATTTAGTTGCACTCAAAGTATTGTGTGTTTGACCACTGTGTCACTTTTTTTTTTTTTTTGCACCTGTAAATCATACTCTGCTGCATGCACACTATGCATGCAACAAAGCCAACTTTTCAAGCCAGGAATAGGGGTGGGTTGATTAGTCGATAAATGTGCTGGATCGTGCGCATTTTTCGTATCTTCGAGGTGACAGCAAATTTGTAATTGTAACTGATTCAACTAACTTCATGATTCCGTAGAAGTTACGAAATTATATTCATTTATTCACATTTCGCGTTACAGTTCTTTATTGTTTTGGCTTGCATTAACACTTAGTCGCCGCAAGAAGTATCCAAACATGGCAGTAATGCCATTAGAGTAAATAAGTAACTTTTTGCTGTAATGACTAATTTAATGAAATAAGCTTGTGGGCTGCTAGGTTTAGTAACAGTAAGGAATTACTTCACGTGAGGGATTTCAAGGTAACTCATTACTGTCACAGTAACTTTGACAAAGATATAGCATGTATGCTTTCCTTATCACGACAAATACTTTAAGGAAAATGAAAAAAAAATTAGCAAAGATAATTAATTCAGCGTGCCATACCTCAGACTGTTGTAGTTGAACAACCATATTTGAAGCTTCAGTGTACATATGCAGCAAATGGAGTGAGCATGAATTCAGTGCATGACTGATGACCTTTTTGTTAAAGTGATTCAAATTAATTGAATTACTTTTCAAAAGTAACAGTAAGCGTAACATTAAAACTTCCTGCCAGCTGTGATAATAGGCGTAACTTAATTGCACTCAGAAATACCATAAAAGTAATTAGCAATGTACGTTAAGTCCATTTAGAAGTAGTTATGTCATCTCCAGAAGTAGCTTTAGGGCGGCACACACCCTTTTCATGCTTAATAGATACGCTCAAATGCGTAAGTAGTCACCTAATTGTCAATTATCTTCTTTTTTTTTCATCCATACCTTTCCCACTGTTACCTGACCCTTTGGCAGCTCTATAATCCGGCGCCTCACCTAGGTCAAGCTGACGGATTCGGAGAGTTTCCGGGAGTCAACACACACACTCAAGTCTAAAGCTTTCTGCTGGCACGGTGCCGCACAAGAACGCTCAGTGCACTTGCGCGCATAGCGATTCCTAGACAAGTGCTTTCGCGCGATTCCACGAAGGGACGGCGGAGAAGGAAGCCGATTCGAGACGGTCCGTGCAGCCTTCGGTGTTGGGCAGAACGGAAGTAACCATGCCCTTGAGCGACGAGGGATGCACCTTCGGGATCCGTTACCGTTTGTGTGTGCGGAGGACCATCTCGGAGCTCGCCCTGCACGCGTGAATGTGAATGTTTTCTTTGGCGTTGGCCGTTGGGACCACCTATATATCTAGGCGCTGGAAGAACGTCGTTAGCTGTGGCCTTTCCTGGCCTATTTGTTTTTGCGTGTTGTGTTTTCACAATGTTTGCAATCAACTTGCGTGTTGTTGCTTCCTTTACTTTTCTTGTGTTTTCTTCTGTTGTGTTAGATTCGCATGCACTCGACATAAAGAGTGGCTTGGCGTGGTGATGTCACCACTTTCTGTTTTAATGCGCAAGCGATAGAAGGGACACTGTGCCAAAAGTGTATAGTTCGTGCAAAGCAACTTTACCTACATACTACAAGCACTAGCTAACTTTGAAAATTACAGTTAACCATTGACTAGTCTTCGCAATTTACGGCTAATGCTGGCTAGTGCTGGCTATCGAGGTAATTGGAGGTAGTTGAAGGCAATGCTAACTCTTCTTTATGTTAACGCTAAGCTATTGCTGACAATTACTTCTTTTCTTTTAGTATTCTGTTCTTTTTCTGTTACATTTCACGTGTTTGTACTTTCTCGGGCAACAAAACTCTACGGTCACAGTGCAGCGGAAACTGTTCATTTTGTCTCGTTATCACTCCTGTTTGCACTTTTTCTAATCACCTTCCAGGAGCAAAAATGTGAAGGAAGTATGTGTGAGCCAGAATCAGACAGGATTGCAGTGTCGATTTATTACATGCGTGGAAATAGTGGGCACTGTATTCGTCAGCTATGAAAAGCTCAACTCGTGTGTAAAGCGTACCACTTCGAGTCGCGCGCTGCAATTGACTAAAACGGAGTTTCACGAGGATACTCCGAATTCCGCGATATCTGAAGACAAACAAGCGTGTCAGAATTTAGAAATCCAAGTACATACCTGACTCCAATAATCACTGAAAATCCCATGACGAACGCGAGTTTACTTCTATATAAACTAGAAAGTCGTAAACAGTTGTTTCACTTATCAGGTTGCAAGGTACGCGTCATTCCGATTTAACTGGCAATTCCTTTCATTCTTCTTGTCGCTTTATTTTCTTTTCCATTCGAAAACACCCCGGTAGATACGATACACATTAAATACATTTAGTAGCGTCGTGCAAACTGTAGTCAACCCTATAAATTTGTACCGTCGACACCTTCCCCGTTCATTGCGCTCTTCTTCGTGATATAATTGCTTGTGAATATGCGTAAGAAAGGAAAGAATTGTAATAATGACCGCACTTTTATACAGCCGCTCTTGGCCGCCTGTACAGGCGTCATGCTGCGCCTACATAGGACGTCGCTGTGAACGTGCTCGCGTTTACTTCAACTCACAGAGCCGACTGGAACAAAGCTATTTCTTGTTACCCCTCTCGTCAAAGAGTAGCTCGCCTCCGTGGTTCGCAAGCGTTGGCAAGATTATTACGCTCGCAATGCCTCGTGTTTCATCGTTCACGTTTGTGGAATAAAAGCAATTGCGCGTGCCGTACACACTTTAAAAAATTTTGGAGTGCTGGCAAGTTGTTCAGTAGAACACGCTGTCTATTGTACATTGCATTCGAATCAAGTGTTTTCTACTCGTCGGTGGCGCTGAATTAACCTGTCTTAAACGCATGCCCACTATAGGTAACGAATTACCCCTAAAAAGGGGAACTGAATGGACTTGTCCAAAATCTAAATGAAGTTGTAAAAACCTTGCTACACACGTCTATCGCGTCAAAAAAAGAGTGTTGGGACAGGTAAACACATTTATGATGCTTTAATTGAGGCTAAAGCTGTTTTTTCAAGGCTGACCCTGGCACGATCCGTTGAAATGCAGAGCTAAATTCGATGACGTTTTCCAGTGAAAAAACCAGTTCTGACGGCTTCACTAAAGGAATAAGCGTGTCAGCGATGTTGTCATTACTAGATCTGACGGCGTAAGCAATTGTGGTGCCATCTCGCATATACATCTTGAATGGCGAAACCGAAACTACAGCACATAAATATGCGTCTTATTAAATTGGGCACCCTGCTCTAGCGCTGTGTTTTCTGTGGTTGAGAAAGTTTGAAGATGGAAGTAACGCTGAAGTAAGGACCAACTGTAAATCTAAAGTCAGTTATTTATGACGAGGCACAATCAGTTACTCCCCGCGAAATCACCCTTGCCAGCACTCCCTTGGTTACAGTGTACGCGCGAAACTAAAGTATATCGCAGAGCTTCTATGACGACCTTTTTCTTGTGCTCGTGTGTGCGTGTATGCGTGTGTGTTGTTACATAGCGAGTTGACACCGTTATAGCGTGACATTAAGCGTCTGTTTTCAACGTTGTTCGGTAAGTAAAAAAAAAAAAATACAAATCTCGGCGGTGCTTCGACATGACGCCAACATATCCTCCAATGCACAGTGAACAAAATATTGTACAGTGAGTTCGTGAACTCTCCGACCCTTCTCCTGCTGCCGTCGGTTGGTTCTGCGAATAGGCCCCGACAAAAGCTTGTAGTGCAGACACAAGGCCACCGTTGTACATAATTACCATCGCTGTTTTTCACGAGTTACCGTTGCCCCCGCCACCCGATTGGAACATCTAGTTTCTATCCCTTGTAGATAGTGTACTATATGGTATGTCGCCTTCGCGAAAGCGTGCCGCCGTCGACTATAAGTTCCAACTCACCCGACAAAGCTGTCTCAAAAATGTCCCGGAGCAAAGAAAAGTGCTAAAATAATGTTAGATAAACGAGCAATTCAGCTGACATTCGGACTTGTTGCTGATTCATAATTCTGTGCTTAACGCTAAACAAGGGCAATGAAAAGACTGAAAAAACACAAGCGCATACCTTCAACTCCTTTAACAGGCTCCCAGAACGACACTTAAGTACATCGTCGTCGCAAACAAAACTGGTAGTAACTATAAACACGTGGTCGTACGGATGGATGTATGGAAAGATAGTTATTTACGTCCTGTACAGGGTGTTCCCACTCGCCTGGCTAATCGCACGTCGGAACTGGGAGGTTAAGCCTCCTGGGAGTACTTGACAGCCAGGACTTAGGGAATATGGTCGTGCGACTTTATCATCCCTGTAAGCCGTTCCCGGAAAATGCATTGAGACGCAATTGCTTCGGTCTGCTCTTCGTCATTGTAGAACTTTGCGCATTGAATGATGAGTTAGACAAGGAGACACATGTGAAAAGGTCCGGACATAATGCGTAACAAATATTACTTTCAACCTATCCCGCCTGACCAGTCACACCTTTGCTCGTACATGCAAACAGCTCATCATCAGGGACTGCTATCTTAGTGTGGCGATGGCTCCATTTAGCTTCGTTCAAGTCCTTCCACGTGTTGTGTAACCTTGTGTGGAGCTCAAATGTTTATCGCAAGATATACATATATATATAACGTAAGTTTTAAGAAGTGGCGTTCTTATCATGTTTACTCAAATAGTGACTAGAGAAAAAAACGTATTGTCATGTTGTGCATGCCCATCTGTGACTCGGTTGTCTATGACCAAACTTGAAGAAATGCTTTTGAAAAAAAAAGTATTTTCTTCAGAACATCTCGGTTAACCTATTTTCCAAAGCTTTGAAGTTATGTGGCTGCTGGTCCTATATGAGTATGCGCGCTTTGGTTATATTGATACCAGGTCTTGTTTTCCTCTATTTAATGACATGTCTTTTTTTTCGAAAAACAAATGATTAAAATAAGTGGCCGAAAGATATGCAGGCACTCGCACACCGCAGAGATAGTAAAATACGCGTGATAAGAATGTGGAAAGCAATGTTGGTTGTCATCCACGAGGATTTGACGTTGGCTTTTAGATGTAATCTACCACGAAATAAAAATTCTCGCAGAACGCAAGATCGTGGAAGACATGAAAGACTTGTGCGAGATAAATCAAGATATTAGGGTGACCATTTCGGGACGAGGTGAAATTCTTCGTTCTATCAAGACCGACACTGGCAAAAGCAGTGGGAGACGCTTGCTGTGCTTTACACAAGATGTAGACAAATTCTGCGATGTCTTGACAAGGGATGATCCGAATGATGTCACTAGCTTGCACGCCTCATTCCTATTGTACAGGCATGAAAAAATCACCCTCTGCACACTTCACACGAGATGCAAGATGCACAGGTGCTTTGTACCGGCAATTGCAGCCCAATCCTCGGTGTCTTCCTTTTTTTTATCTCCCCCTTTTTTTTCTGAGAGAGTACAAATCGTATGGATGAGAAATTACGCTTGACGAGTTCGAACGTTCTGAGAAATCTTGTTCGGTCATAATTAGCACACGGGAAACTTGCTCCAAGTTGATCCGTAAAAGAAGACCCTGAAGCTAAGCGTAAATCTAGTTAACAGAATGTTGTTCTGTACTATCACCATCATAATGAACAAAAAAGAAAGGGAGATATAGATAAAAGATGGGGAAAACCGCGGACCAATCTCGCCGAGGTATTGTGATGACAGGAAGGTGACCCCACACTGCATTTCCGCCGAAGGTCTCGACACCCTGTGAACGCGAGGTTTCTTTGAGTCCACTTCTGTGGAGGTGCAGCGGTCAATAAACTGTTATTTCCAAAACTGAAGTCTTTGTCTGCTCTCTCTGTTTATTTTCTTGCGATGTCCATCCTATAAACAAGTGTAGGTCATCATTATTTGGCAGATGTGCAGATGACAGCTCGGGCACTGCTATGAGGACTCGCAGGAAAATAAAATCATTGATGTTGCAAGATATTACAACTCCAATGCAGACTTTCACGTTCTTCAACCTCAAGCTTGTTTTATTTATTTTTAATTGTTCATGATACCAACCACTGTGGGCCGTCCAGCTAGCCGAGGAAGCCGCCCGAGCCCAATGGCCCATGGCTGATGCCTAGGCCGGTGCTGAGGCCCACCCCGAATCAACTTCGCTGGACAATATTAGTAAAGTTTTTCTTCTTCTTCTAGCTCACATAGCATTTCGTTTTCTCCCAAACCCCACTTTATGTTGCTGCTTCAATTTACAATCAGCATGAGCTGCGCTTTCTATGGACTGATTTAAGAAGCTATTGAAACTAAAGCAGCATTAAAAGAAGTTGAGGGAGCTGGTGTCATTAGCAATATGTATTTTATTTATTTATTTTATTTATTTAACAATACTGCCGATCTCACAAGGAGATCATTGCAGGGAGGGCATACATATGATACAGAAAAGAAACACGAAGCAATCATTTCTAGCATGCAAAACAATAAGCAATCGATACATGAGAAGCAGAAGTAGCAATGAGCAAGGTGAGGGTATAAATCTCTGCAAAACTACAAATTACAACTATAAAGACAAAATGTACAATGATGCAATCACGTTATCAATATACAGAGCCTGCATACGAATTACAAGAGGACAAAAGGAAAAAAAGAACAACAATTTTCAGAAAAACTCCTGAGCGCGTACCTTTGCTTCTACCATATCTAAGAACAGATTCAAAGATGAAGTGTTCGTAACAGAAGGGCTAAGTTGGTTCCAATTTCTTATGGTTTGCGGGAAATACGAATATTTAAAGCAGTTTGAATGAAAAGTGTATTCATTAAGTACTTGATAGTGCCGGTAACGTGTTAACCTAGATCGACTGAAAGAGATTAGTTTTGACGCGTCGATGTTTATGTCTCCATGAATTAACTGAAACAAAAAATTTAGTCTTGCTATTTTCGCCCGACTTAGTAGTGTTTACAGACCAGCTTTGTGTAATAATTATGTAGGAGAATCCGTTTGCCTATATTTATTACAAATGAATCTTACTGCCTTCCTCTGCACCCCTTCGATTCTTGCAATTAGTTCCTTTGTGTACAGGAAACCAAACAATATTGGCGTATTCTAACATTGATCTGACAAGCAGTCTTGTATGCCAGCAGCTTTGTATTTGGGGGTGCCAGATGAAGGCGTCTTCTCAAAGAGAAAAGCCGCTTTAGTGAACTTGAGTATATATTGTTGACATG